CTGAGTCAACCTTGAGCCGGTCAGGATCAAACTCCTGGCAGTCGGCAGAATCAGCCTCTAATATTGTATTCTAATCACAAGGACGGAGAGACGGACGGATGGAAGGAAATGAAACAAAAAGGGAGGGAGGAAAATAGCAATAGCACTTAAGAGTTATATACCGCTTCATAATGTTTTAGAGCCCTCTCTAAGCAGTTTACAGAGTCAGCCTCTTGCCCCCTAACAATTTGGGTCCTCATTTTATGAACCTTGGAAGGATGAATCAGTCTTGAGCCGGTCAGGATCAAACTCCTGGCAGTCGGCAGAATCAGCCTGTAATATTGCATACTAACCACTGTGCCACCATGGGTCATGGACGGACGGATAGATAGAAGGAAAGAAGGAAAGGCACTGGCCTTTCTAGCACTTAGACTTATATGCTGCTTCAGAGTGCCCTATGGCCTCTCCAAGAGGTTTATAGAGTCAGCTCTTGCTCCCCCAACAATCTGGGTTTTACCCATCTTGGAAGGACGGAAGGCTGAGTCAACCTTGAGACAGTCAGGATCGAACTGCTGGCAGTGAGCAGAGTCAGCCTGCAATACCACCTTCTAACCACTGTGCTACGGGGGGCTCTTGAGCGAATCGATACCTGTATGAGTTGATCCAAGGAAGGCGAAATCTCGGTTTCTTTCTGGATCACCCCAAAGCTGCCCTTCAGGCTGGTGTCCTTCACCTCCTGCTGCAGCAACGGGATCAGGTACCTCAAGGTGAGCAGCACCCCAAGAATCAAGACACTGGGATGCTCTTCTTCCTTGGGACACAACAGCCCTGTGAAGATGATTGGAAGAACTGGAAAAACAACAACAAGGCTGCTCTCCAGCCCCTCGCAAGGCCCGCTAACCTCCCCTACCGCGGATCCAGGGAACTCCAGTGATGGGATTCAACCGGTATAACAACCAGTTTGGTGAGCGTGCGACTCGCAGGCGTGCAAAGCATCCGCAAACCACCCACCCCCGCCCCTTTTCAGCTCTAAAACTCACCTTCTACTGCAGCCCCGTGAGTACCACAGCTGATTTGCGCGGCAATTTGCTATGTTGCGCGAATCAGCCGAGTTGCAAAACACAGAAATATAGAACAGACTACGGCCTAGAGCAGGTCTGCTGCACTTGTGTGCACCACTCGACAGCGAATTGTTGGGTATCAGGCGCACACGCGTGGGGGGCATGGGAAATGCACGTGCATGTGTAGAGATGCATGGCACGCTGGGGGGGGGGTCGTTCGTGCATGCGCAGATGTGTGGCATGCATGGGGGTGTTGCGCGCGTATGCGCAGAGGCCGCCCCCCCGCACGCATTGCCTTCTGGGTGCTGGCACGCAAGTGTGAGTGCAATTATCAGCACAGGAGCCCAAAAAGGTTAGCCACCCCTGGACTAGGCCACGGGCAGATGGCTGGGGCCAACTGATCGCCGGCATTACCGGTTCGTTTGAACCGGGACAAACCGGTAGTAGCCCGTCCCTGGGGGAACTCCCTTGTCAGTCCCCAAGTACCCCACTTTTCAGCAGCAGGTATCTGTAGGCAAGTCCTGTGAACGTAGCTGCAGCCCACAGTGGGAGTCTCCAACCTTGGCAACTTTAAGACTTGTGGACTTCAACTCCCAGCAAAGCTGCTTTAGAGCAGAAGTTGCCAACCTTTTGGACCTCACGGACCACCAAACTCCTAATTTTAAATCCCAGGGACCACTCATATGAATTTTGACTGACAGTGCCTTGCTGACGTTGGTGGGAGAGAAAGAGAGAGATCTGATTTACCCTCTCTGTCACCCTCTTTCACACACACACACAAACACAGAAGCAGGGGTGGGATTCAAATTTTTTAACAACCGGTTCTGTGGGCGTGGCCTAATTTGTGGGTGTGGCTTAGTGGTCATGTGACTGGCTGGGCATGGCTTGTATGTAAATATTATAAATATTTATGTAAATATTGAATTTTTTTATAAAAAAGAGCAACTTTCACCCAAAATCAGGCAAAGCAGGAAGGCAGATTGAGTTGCTCACAGAATCACAGGTTCACTCAGAGATCTATCTTTCTGCCATCAGCTACCCGAGTCTGTCACATAAAATTTGCTAGCAAGTAAACTCACAAAATTAACTCACAACACACCATGTATGTAAATATTGATTTTTTTTATTAAAAAAAGAGCAACTTTTACCTAAAATCAGGCAAATCAGGCAGGGAGATTGAGTGGCTCACAGAATCACCGATGCATTCAGAGAACTGTGTTTCTGCCATCGGCCACCTGAGTCTGCCCTGCTTCAGTCCTAAGGAAGGTTCAGCTCTGCTTAAAAGCAGAGTCGAAGATCTAAAGATTAGCTAGAAAGCAAGAAATCCAACAATTTCCTGCTTTCTAGATAATCTAAATCTCCCGGCACAGCAGAACAGCTGATGGTAAGGGGAAAAAAAGAAAAGGAAAAAATAGCAACTTAGCAGGCAAGTTGGCCAAGTAAGGAGTGAGTGGGCGGGGAAGGTTCCCGCGGGCCATATAGGCAGTGCAGCCTTGTGTTCCCGCACAGACTGGATTAATTGCTTTGGGGGGAGTGCTTTGGGGGTGACATTTCTCTGCGGACAACCAAAATTTCCGGTTGGCGACCACTGCTTTAGAGCACACCAGCCATCCAGAGAGCCCAGTGAAGCAGGGAATGCTGGAGGAGCCAGTGGGTGATGGGAGATAGATTTTTCCACCTCTGTGTGTGTGTGTGTGTGTGTGTGTGTGTGTGTGTGTGTCTTTTTAAAAAAACCCTGGTATCTGGCTGGTCAGTTTGTTTTTGCCCAGTGCACACCCCTGCCAAGATTTACTGATTAATGGGCACACAAGACACACCCCGTTGCTTAAATATGCTTGTCAGAGAGTGTATATTTCTGCACCTTGCCTGACTGGCTGACTTTTTGGTCTTGTTTTTAAAGGGGGGGGGGAGAGAGTGCTCAAAAGAAAAGAAAAAAATAGAAACTCCTTTCACTGGCAAAAAAATCAGCTGGAACCTGCGAACCATTTTTTTGAGCAAGGCAGAGATCATTTTCCCACAAATGCAGCTCTTTATTTAGAATTTTTACACCAGCTATATTTGCCAAATGCCCAAAAGAGGGGATGATTCCATATTTCTATGGTATGTTATAGAGGGTAACTTTGAGTCAATCCTGAAACTTGGGAGTTGCCCGGGCAAACCCGTTTCTTGCAGATTTCTCAAAAGTAGTTTACCATTGCCTCTTTCCTAGGGCTAAAAGTCAATGGCTGGATCAAGGACACCCAATGGGCCTGGTGCCTCAAAGGCAGGACTAGAACTCCCAGTCTCCCCATTGCTAGCCAGGTGCCTTAAGTACCACATCAAGCTGGCTCTTGGGTTATAGTAACGGAGGTGAAAGAGTTAAAGTTTAGCGAAAGAATCATGCCGAAGAACGATTTCCCCCACCGTTGGAATCAAGTGTCTCAACAAGCGACATTTGGACGTCTTCTAATGTTAATAATTGACACATTCAGTTTAAGGTGAGGCAAATGTCAGCCTTCCGTGTTTGAAGTCGCCAATATTTATATGGCTTTTGTTGTTTCTTAGCCTTTGCTCCTTCTTTTTTCAGAGTTATCACCTGTCAACCCCATAAAAGGCTCGAGAAAGTCACTTTTACGGCAGGTATTTCTTTAGAAATATATATGCAAAGAATGGGGGGTATAGTTGAAAGAGGGAGAGGGAAGGGTGGGAGAGAGAGGGAGGGAGGGGGAAAAGGAGGGAGAGAGAGAAAGGAGGGAAAGAGAGAGAAAGGAGGGAGAGAGGCTGAGAGGGAGGGAGGGGGAAAGAAGGGAGAGAGAGAAGGGAGAGAGGAGGGAGGGAGAGGGAGAAAGAGAAGGGAGGGAGGGGGATAGAGAAGGAGAAGGAAGGAGAAGGAAGGGAGAAACAGAAGGGAAAGGAGAAGGAGAGAAGGGAGGGAGAAGGGAGAGAGGGAGAAACAGAAGGGAAAGAGGGAGAGAAGGGAGGGAGGCTGAGGGGAAGAGATAGAAAAGGGAGAGAGAAGGGAGGGAGGGAGAGAAGAGAGGGACAAGGAGGAAGGACGGAGGGGGGGAGAGAGAGAGAGGGAGGGAGGAAGGGAGAACAATAAAGATCCAGCAAAGCTAAAGCAGGATGATCAATTAAGACCCTTACCTAGCAATACTTGAAGCAACCGAGTGTAAAAATACTGTGTCCTTCGTGAATGCTGGCAGATGCTCACCGCGGCCGCGGCCGCCGTCCGACGGATGGTTGAAGAATTGGAGTTAAGGTTACCTATGAAAGCTTTTAATAAAACCTAAAGGGAAAAGAAAATCAGTGAAGTGTTTCTGTGCCAACCTAAGTTTCCTTTTTCCAAAGTCTGGAATCCCCACACGGTCCATTATGGATGCAGGTAAGTGCAGGGCGCACGTTGAGGCTCAGGGAGGGCGAAAAACGGGCCTCCCGGAAGTCCAGGAAGGCAGGAAATGGGCCCGTTTCCAGCTTGCCGTGAGAGCCTCCGGAGCCTGAGGAGGCCATTTTCACCTTCCTGGAGGCTCAAGAAAAGCCTCAGGAGTCCGGGGAGGGCAAAAAACAGTCCAAAAATGGGCCCATTTCCGGCTTCCAGAAAGCCTCCGGAGCCTGGGGGAGGGCAAAAAGGGCCTCCCTCCCACCGTGATACAGGAGACTGACTAGGCTACACCCACCACGGCCACACCTACCCAGCCACTGGGCAGAGAACCCCTTGCTAAAAAGATTTTAAGCCCACCCATGGCGTTCAATGTGTAAAAAAACCATGTTTACTTTGATGTCACTGTCGTTGGCGAAGTTGCCAAAAGCCGCCATGATTTTGGGCATCGCCACCGCCAGGGTCTCTTGCACGGATTCTTCGGGCCGCCGGCTGACCCGGGTTAAGCAGGGCAGGAGGTTCACAAAGTATGGCCTGCACCAAGAGACAGCAACAAGGATCACTCAAAGGGAAGAAAGTCCCTGTTGGTACATGGCACCAAATAGGCCGGAAAGGCACAGGAGAAAACGCAAACCGGAAAGGGTGCCCTGCCTCCAGGCCTAACTTAACAGAACAGAGTAACAAGAGTTGGAAGGGACCTTGGAGGTCTTCTAGTCCAGCCCCCTGCTCAAGGCAGGAAAACCTACACCACTTCAGATAAATGGCTATCCAATCTCTTCCTAAAAACTTCCAGTGTTGGAGCATTTTCAACTTCTGGAGGCCAGTTGTTCCACTGATTAATTGTTGTAACTGTCAGGAAATTTCTGTTTAGTTCTGAGTTGTTTCTCTCCTTGATTAGTTCCCATCCATTGCTTCTTGTGCTGCCTTCTAGTGCCTTCGAGAATATGTTGAGACCTCCCTCTTCCTTGGGGCAGCCTTTTAGATAAGGGAACACTGCTATCAGGGGTGGGGTTCAGCCGGTTTGAGCCGGTTCAAGCGAACCGGATGTTAAATTTACATCTGGTTCGCCCAACCGGTAGTTGAAACAACCGGCTGGCCCTACCTACGCCTCCCCTCCTCGGAGTCTCCATCCGGCCCATTTTGGGATGCAGGTTAAGTGCAGGATCCGAGCAGAGGCTCTGGGAGGGGGAAAAACGGGCAGAAGCGGAAATTCTGGAAGTCCGGAAATGGGACTGTTTCCCGCTTCCGGAGGGCCTCCAAAACCTGGGGAAAGGCTGTTTTTGCTCTCCCAGAGGCCCGAGGGAAGCCTCCAAACTCTGGAAGTTCTGATAGGCCACGCCCACCATGGCCACACCCACCCAACAACGGGGCAGAGAACCGGTTGCTGGGATTTTTGAATCCCACCCATGACTGCTATTATGTCTCCCCTGGTTCCTTGTTTATTGCACTAAACAAAACCTACCCAATTCCAGCAACTGTGCTTTATGTTTTTAGCTTCCAGTGCCTTAAGACCCATTAAAGGGAATATACAGAGATCTATCTTCCCAGCAAGGAGGATAATGTAGTAGAGGAAATTACTAGCATCAAATGCCAGGCCAAGTTGTGTGACAGCATGCAACAGTCGGCTAGGCAGATGGGAGGCCGGCCAGCCAGGTGACAGTCCAACTCCCAGTAACATACAAGTAACAACCCAAACCACAGGACCTCAAAGCTGCTTGGCTAGAATCCCCCCCCCCCCAGTTCAGCTTCTTGCTCTCAAGGAGACCATCCCACCTGCATTTCTGAGGTCTAACCAGGTGTGCCAGTTCAGCAAATCTCCACAGAGCAGCTCGCAAACTCCGGGAAGCACCGTTCTGCAAAACACAATGGACAACAGGCTCACCTGTCAGCGACAAGGCAGGGCAACCTGTGCTGACTTTTACAGAATTCCTTCACGCAAAATAAACCTATAGCGAAGTAATTCTTTACTGGAGCTGGGAGCAACAATGCAGCCTGATTTCAAACGCCCAAATATTCTTCTTGAAAACTCTAGATCCGTGACGGAAAACCTGTGGCACGCGTGTTTGGTTTGTCTTCCATCAAGGATATTCAGTGCTTGGAAGCACAGTGAAGGAATAAAAGGGGCTTCACCTGTTTTCTGTTACTGTGTTTGTTTTGTACCCTACCCTGGGTCATCACAAGTTCTCAAAGTGAGATTAAAGGTCCCTCTATGACAGCAAATGATTTTTTTTTTGAAATTGTCAATTTTGATTTTTCATGCCGCAAATATTGACAAATATTGTAACCCGGTCCTAAGACCAAACTGTTTCAAAACCGCCATTCTAAGGCAGCATTTCGCAACTTTTAGTCACTGTTAAGATGTACGGAGTTCAACTCCCAGCATTCCTCAAGCAGTCTACCAGCCTGCATTTTGCAGCCATCCCATTAGCCCCCCAAATTCTCTCCCCTCAAACGAAGTGTTCATTGCTCATGATAACAAGTTGTAATCCCAAATTCCTGTGGAAAACTTTTATACATGCAAACAAAACTGTACACAGACAATGTTGTGTCAAAAAAGAACTCACTTTTTTAATCTCTTTGTAGAGTTCCAGTTGTAACCTAGGAAGACTAGAATCCATCAACGCCTGGAATGGAATCAAGCGTACATATTAACAATGCATGCGCTATTCCAACATTATGTACTAAATTACATTTATTTATTATAATGGTTCTTTAGCCCCTGAATAGCAAAGCATAGAGAGGATTCTGATATCTAGTGTTTCTTATCTCTACTTTTATTCAACAGCACTAATCTATATATACATAAAAGCAAAAGACCCCTCACGCATCATCACAAAATCTCCAGAACCGTAAAGCCTACAAACTTGACATTTGGCATGTTTGTTCCTCTTGGCTTCTAGGGACGCACTAAGACAGGATTTTTCCAAATGACCACCAAAGCATTAGTATTTCCTATATGATTATTATTAACACGCTTTGATACTAAGGAGTTCTACTCCCCCTCCCGACCTGAAAAGAAATAACTTCCAAATGCAAAACACAAGCAGAGGAGTTTCAGTTTCAGTTTTAATTTCAACAGCACCAAGCAGCTTTAGCACAGAACAGTTGAGCTAAGCCACGCCTAGGCTCCTTGCTGTCTCTTTCTTGCTCACACAGCAAATACTTTTCCATTTCCAAACAGCCCTCAACTCTCTCACACACTGACAGGATGCTAGCCAGATGAATACCGATGGATGCTGGTAGGCAGAATGTTTTTCTCCTTATTTTCCTCCCCAAAAACTAAGCCTGATCACATAGTTTCGTTAGCAAAGCACGGGTATAGAGCTAGTAAATTATTACAAAGGACCGAAAGAATGTCTAGGTCAGGGGTATATGTCTTGGCAACTTCAGACTTGTGGACTTCAACTCCCAGAATTCCTCAGCCAGCCTTGACCTATTAGCAAAGCTCTCCTGGCAATAGACTTCCAGGAATCTAAACTCTAATTGTTTTGAAATTCAACACAACTTCATATTAAGACATGTAGCTTCAAACCCTCCATGCCTGGGAATTACAGGTTGTTCTCTATTTACAACCATTCAGTGACTGTTCAAAGTTATAACATCAGTTTTTTCAGCCCTCAAAGGTCTGTTTTTCTGAATTTAATGCGTATTTCTAAGTCATAATATACCGTCTTCCCCAGAAAATAAGACCCTGTCATATATATTTTGCCACCAAAAATAAAGTCTTATTTTCAGGGGATGTCATCCACTGACTTAACCTTACTTGTGTGCATTGCCTCTGGCCTCCGTTTCCCTGTCAGAGGTCTTCAGGAACTTCTTCTGTGGCCGGCAAGGCTGTCCTGAAGGCCTCTGCAGCCGATAACAAAGGTCTGGATCGATCCAAAGCTTTGTTATCGGCTCCATAGGCCTTCAGGAAAGCCTTGCCAGCCTTGCCGGCTGCAGAAGAAATGGGCTGGCAAGGCAGGTATCAGAGTGTGCGAGGCCTGGCTACAACTGTCCAAAGGTAAGTAGTAGGGCAGCTCCACCTCCACATCCTCACCCTAACTTAATTTTTACCCTTCCACTCTGGAGTAGGTGTGATCTTAATTAGGGCTTATTTTGGGGGTAGGGCTTATATTGGGCACACAAGCTAAGTCTTTCTTTCAGGGTAGGTCATATTTTCGAGGAAACAGGGTACATCAAGAGAGTAACTACTTTCAGCCATCCCAGAGCAGGTTTTTTCAGCCACCCACGGTCTGTTTTTCTGAATTCAATCCCTATTTCTAGGTCACTAAAAAAAATGCCACTTACTTTGATCACTTTATTGAGACATTCATCGGAGACCATTCTGACATCAGATTCTGCGTCATCGCTACAGAGGAGGAACAGTTCCATGGCGATCCCCAACAGTTTTGGGAACTCTGGAGAATTTCTGAAACACAGACCCCGCATCCAGTTAGGAAACAAACCCTAACCTCATTCGCTCACACAGTTTCAATGGCAAAATGGGGAGAACAAGCTATGGTCTTGTTTGGTTTAGAGCCGTAAGGAAAAGGGAGCTTTGCAGTTCTAGCAAGCTGCACAGATCTCCTCTTCGGACAACACTGTTGTGGCCTGCCAGTGGCCAGTGGAGCTGGTGACAGGCTCGGACAGTGAGGAGGTTGGGGAGGAACATGGGCCAGTCCTGGAGTCTGGGGGAGGCTCGGACGAGGGCTCTGTGTCGGAGGCAGAGATGGGGCCAGGGCCGTCTGACAGTTATCAGCTGCCTTCGGAGCCGGAGATCAGTGGGGAAGAAGAACAGCTGGAGCCTGTTCCCAGTGTGTGCATGCACAGAGCTGCCAGAAGAAGGGAACAGTTAAGGAACAAGAGTCGACTTGGGAGTAAGGGCAGAGGTGGATGGTGAATGGCCCCTCCCATGGGGAATAAAGAGGAGTGAAAGGAAAGTGGGGTTTGCAGGAGACAATTAGTTCAATTCATGAGGGTGAAGATCTGTTCCTGACTTCTTGCCAAGTAATTGCTGCTACAGAGTGGCGTTTGGAAGCTATCGGCCTGGCCACTCTCCAAGGCTGATAAAGGTCTGTAGTTGTGAAATCTCATGAAAGACTGTTGGCCGGGACTTTGCTGGAGAGGAATTCCTTTTAACCTAAATAAAAGGGGGTTTATGGGGACGAGTAGTTGGCTTTGTGCTTTTGGGAAGCCTTAGGTCAGAACATCCACAGCCACGAGAGGAATACGTAACGTTAATCACGAGCAGCTCAAGAAAAGCCCGTTTTACAGTCCCATGAGGCTTTTGGGGAGAACATGTCCCCTGCCTGACGTTGCTAGACCTCCCAACTCAAGAGAATTCTCTGCTGAATGGGAAGCCATCAAGCAGATCTTCCACCCTTGGTTTAGAAAATGAGAAACGGCATGCGTCAAACTTTTCCTTTTAATGCATGCTGCCTCTTTCTCC